GTGGTTCACCTTAATTACTTCTAAAGCCAAACAAAGCAAATCTAACACCAAAAAGCCAAAGTTGACATATGACAAAGTTGAAATCAATAATTGAGACTGAGATTGCAGCAGACTTCGTGGTGAAATTTATTGAAATCAGAAAGTAAGACTGGTAATGGTAAATTATTCACTGTTATCGATTTGGATATTGTGATAAATGTAACTGTGAAACAACATTCCAAGTCAAAGTCAACCAAAACCCATTTATTATGTTTAAATGAAATCTTAAAATATGCGCTACATCCCCCGAGGTAAACTATTCTTTTGGAAAATCATGTATATATAAAAGGATAAATCTATGATGCCGAAAATTTATGATAGTTCAAAATAACATTTAAAATTTTTGTTGTGGAAGACTCACTTGGGGACATCCCTTTTCTTACAAGCCTAGCTCTAGCACACTCAATGAAAAGACAAAGAAACCACCCCTATTTCTAGAGTTGATCTTCTGCTAATAAAATATGTTTTAACCGCCTAGGACCCATCATAAAAGTGGGACCTATCACCTATCATATATGAGATGTATGGTGTGAGATTATATTAGTAAAGGGTTAGAACGTGTTTTGTTGGTAGGTGATTTCGATTCTTATTTATAATAATAAAAAATTAATAATATTTTTTTTCAATAAATAAAATTTTACATAGCGTGAATCCTCCAAAGAGGGTTATATATGTTAGATTTGGGGTTTTAAAGTATTGCTTGTATGTATTTCATTATTTCTTTTTTTTTTATTAATGCTTAATATTTTATTTCACTCTCTATTACCCTTCTTCATGCCCCAACCTGCTCTATTTATTGGGTAGAGATTGGATCAGGCCCAACTCCTACCTAACCCGATCCATTGTCATCCCTACCTTCAAATGACTAAATGATTAACCTGCTCTATTTATAGGGTGTGCTATTCATAATTTCTATAGCTCTTGCTCCCTTCACACAACATACACATATATATAGTAATAGCCATTTAGCTTTATTGGATTTTGTTTAACAAAAGGCCAAACTAACAAGAAGTCTTCCACATAAAAAATTGGTCTGGGGCTCAAAATGAAATTCCACTTTTTATCCTCTATTAATAGACCAAATTTGGACACTAAAACCTAAGGGTGCAACTTAGTTGGGTTTACAATTGGATTAGGATCGAAAGCGTGAACTCGGTATAGACTTGGATTAGGTTAGTTAATAGTTAGGGTTAAAAATGGCAGTTCATTGCACAAGGTTCACACAAATGTGAGGTTTGGGGAGGGACAGACCTAATCTAGGTCCAACCCTAACCTGATATATATTGGTTTTGTAGATAAGTATGCTATGTAATTTGTGGGGGGGGGGGATTGAAGGGTGCTTTCTTTTGTAAAATATTCATATATGATGTCTATCTTTTGCATATATAATATGTGCACTTGAATGAATATGGCAGTGCGATGCGTTTATGAATTTGGTAGGTAAGGTTCCAACTCCCACCCAACTTGACCATTCAATCTCATGAGTGAATTGGGTTAGGGTTGAGAAACTTGGGTTGAAGATGAGGCTGGTTAGGGTTTGGGTTAAGGTTTTTAGCCAACCGATCCCACCTACTAGAACTTGGCCTCAACTCTTTACTGTTGTCAACTTGAGCCAACCGATCCCACCTACTAGAACTCTTTACTGTTGTCAAAATAAAGCCCTTTTAATGGCCAATATTATTTGTGAAAACTAGTAAAAGGTGGGTTAGAGCCTTGGTGAGTGGTTCACACTCACCAAGTAAGTTCCTTTCACAATCTTCTGTTAATGGGGCATATTTGAGCTCAAAAATTCTTGCCACATGGTCAGAATAGGGCCCTCGTTTGGGACAAGTTTAACATTAAAATATTATTGAAGCTTTCAATAGCCGATCGAAGCACAGATAAAAGCTTCTGGAAGTTTGAAATTGATTACACAACGTGGGCAGCTCTCCTCAGTGGCAATACCTCCAACCCTGATAAAAGAGACCAGGATAGAATTTGATCTCAGGTCTCCATCATAAGAATTTATCAACAAGCCAGCTCAATTTCCTCAGCAATGGTTCTAAACATTAATGTGCATGAATTGGATATGATTTTCCCTTGGACTACTCTGGCTTAATATCTTCGTTAACTTTATACAATCTAAGGATGTGATCTTAAGCATTTAACTCACAAGACTTGTATTAAAGACTTTCAATAACAATTAGATAAAATAATCAAACCAAATACAAAATCGTTCTAATTAATAAACTCAGCTTTTTCCTCAATAGGTCCTCTATCATCCAATAGTCATGTCTAAATAATATTAAAAAAAAAATCATAGGCAAATTAATTCCTCACGTCCTATCATCAAAAAATACAGGTTTGAGTAAATTAGGAGAGATGGAGTAAAAAAAAAGAAAAACATTGAATTTGAACTTGAACTCATGAATCATATATATTTAGAATTGGGCACATCAGCTCTCTATCTGGCTCAAACAGAATGGACCATAATCTAACTTCTGAAGCAGAAACCCGGATAAGAGATAATCCAAAAGATAAGTGATGCATTGCATATATATATACAATGTCCCCGCCATCAGCTGCACCACCAGGAACTACGGCAGCCAGCACTTAAACGTGTACTCATCTAGGGTTCCACTCTTGCCTGTGAACTGTGATATCCTCCTATCCCTTTAAACCCAGAACTGGACATGTGGGATGGGTGGCACCATTTGTTCAGCCCCAAAGAGAAAAAAACAAAAAAACATTGAATAGGGTTTGAAACCAACTCCAAATGGCAAAGTGGTGCATCAGCATGACTGATCTCATTTAAGCATGCCTCGACGTCCCACCATCAGTTTAGCCCATGAATTCTTTGCTCCGTTGAGGGTTGATGCCAGATATTACTGGGGCGTACGTGTGGATGAATCTGAAAGCATTTGTGTGAATGGTGAGGCCAATAATACAATCGATAGAGGAAGAAACAAGCCCTCGACGGCGAGAAATCCGGCTCGGTCACGGGCTGGAGTGGAGATCTAGAGAGAGAGCCCGGAAAGCTGAAAAGCTGTGGGCCTGTGGCTCGCCTGCATTTAATGTGCCAATTAACCTCCGCTGTCCCCCATTAATTCAATGCCCATCAGCTACTGACGCCATTCTCATCAACCCAAGACCCAACTTTCTTCCTCTCAACCGCCAGCACAAGTTTATGATTCCCATTTTCTCATCTATCAGCTCATTTCAAGATATCGGCTCAATATCTTGAAGTTTCTCGGCTCGATAAAATTATGATCATGATTTTAGGGGGTGTTTGGCAATGCAAATTTCGGTAAATTGCTGAAACCTCCTTGAAGTTGGCATGGCAACTATTCATGGTTACAAAAATTAAGGTATGCACAGGTGAAGAGCCCTGAGTTTATTTTCCGGAATACTTTCAATGGAAAATTAATATGGTATATTTGATACTTCTTAAAATGTTCTCAATTAATCTAAATTATTAAATTGTACTCATTTTAAATGATCAGCCCCGTTATTTTTTAGGGATAAGTGGACTGTACTCCCCCTCAGAAATCTGAAATTACAGCCCCTTCTTAGTCTATTAGTAACTCCTTTATAAATCGCATCATATCCGTGGATTTGACATCAATCCATGGTCAGGATTCATTATACCCCTAGGGTGGAGCTAAGATTTCTAGGTGTGGACTGAACAGTTAAAACCCCTTTTTTAACCATCATTGATCCGATCAATTGAACCGAGTTTGATACAACCTCTAAGCCACTATATTATGACAAACTGCTGGCTATTTAAAAATAATAACATAATATAAACCACCTAACCCATTCAACGGGCTATCAGATCTAAATAGTTGAACCATTGACTGGTCCACCCACAGGAAAGGTGGTTCAACCTTTTAGCTGGGTTTGAAAACACTGCTCACGTCCATGCATGTTGCCGTCTTACCCACAGTTTGATTGTAGCATGCAAGTGATATATAATTTTCATTTACATATTTTTTCTAATCTCATTATAATTAATTTAAAATCTATATTTCTTATCATCTTTATCCCGTAATTAAAAAACTTGGTTGATGTTTAGAACAAACATATTCATTATATATATATATATATATAATTTTGATCAAATTTTTTCTGAATTTAAAAGGAAACCAATATATATTATTATCATGACCATTAAAAAGGCATTTACCATATACCGTTGAAAATTTTATACTGCATCCTGCATCCCCGGCCCATTCAAAATTTAATAAAATCTCAATCCGAGCCCGGCCAATTTGCATCCCTAGTGGATTGGATACATCCCTGACCTCGGGTTTCACCATCTTACCAAACAACGGAGAACCCTAATTTAAACTCATATTGTCATCCATACAACATGGACTCATTTGATTTGTTAGAGAGAAAAAGAAAATTATAAATGAGTTCATTTCAAAGAGAACCTTGAATGACCATGCTCTCATGCTGAACCCATTTTAACAGGAAATGTATCCATTTCAGAAGGTCATTGCTGAAATCATGCATGTCATTTCTTGGACAAGAAACGGGCCAGTGCACTAGATACTAGTTGAATCATACAAAGGAATAAACAGGAGCGGATGCTTAAGAGTTAAAAGATCAACTGATCAGTTGCTGCTTTAACTCAAATAAGAAAACAAAAGAGTAGCAGGTTTTAACTAAATGGAATCCGAGGTTTAATTACCCTAATACTTCGCTTGTATATCTGTAATTCTGCACTATTTCTCTAGGGGTCATTACACCAATCAACAAAACAAGACAAATGAAACCAAGCATTTAATTGGGCATTAAAAAAGAGGTATAGGCCGACATGATCAGATGATCACATCCAATCAGATCTGTCGTCTTCTTCTTCTTTCTCTGATGAGCGCTCATCAGAGAGAGAGAGAAAGAGATCAATATCTCGTGGCACATTTTCTCGACTATAATAGCGATCCCGATGACTTGAATTCCGTGTATGACAAGCGAAAGAAGGATAGTCTGAGTGGAAAAAAAATTAAAACCATCACCCAATCGGTCAACCTGGTAGTTAAGAAGTACTAAATAGCTTATCTCTTTCATTCAACATTTCAACCTTCGAAGCTTCAAAACCTGATAGTTTCGGCTTAACGATTGAATCTTCAAAATCAAATAACTCATCTCTTCTTGCATCCACCCTTTGAACTCAACTCTTGTATCTTGCATTCACTGGTTCCACCATTGTCGTCTCTTATCTTTTCTGGCCACTTTCTTGGCCAAAATGAGCTTCCGAGCACCTTTTCCCAGCCATGACAAAGAAGAAAAGAAAGAAGCAACAGATGAAAAGAAAACCGAGAAAGTTCCATTCACCAAGCTTTTTGCCTTCGCAGATTCCTGGGATTATGTCTTAATGCTCTTGGGCTCCGTCGGTGCTTGTGTTCATGGGGCTTCTGTGCCCGTATTCTTTATTTTTTTCGGCAAACTAATAAACATTATCGGTGTCGCTTACCTCTTTCCGACTTTGGTGTCGCACAAAGTCGCAATGGTATATATATATATATATATATATATATATATATATATAAAATAACTTCAACTTCTAACCTGACTCCATTGTTAGTGATCAGGTGAGCTTTGGGTTTCTTATGGACTGTGATTTGGCCTTGTCTTGTTTGTGCAGTATGCTTTGGATTTTGTCTATCTAAGCATTGTTGTAATGTTCTCATCATGGATAGGTACGAAATGATGTATTATTCGATTTCTTCAGTTTAATTCTATCTTGATTTGGTTAATTTATTAGTTGCAGAATTCATTTGTTGATATGAAAATGCTAAATTATAATACCTTTGAGCTTGTAGAGGTGAGCTGTTGGATGTATACCGGGGAGCGACAAGCGGCGAAGATGAGGCTAGTCTACTTGAAATCAATGCTGAACCAAGACATCAGTCTCTTCGACACCGAAGCTTCGACTGCAGAAGTGATCTCTGCAATTACCAGCGATGTTATTGTTGTTCAAGATGCCATCTCTGAGAAGGTATGGACTACTCTTTTATTAATTTTAACTTCAGATTGGTGATGTGTAGAGACAAAAAAAAGTTGATTTTTTTAGGAATTTATTGAATTATTGGAGTTCATGCATATATTAATTTGAACCAGAAGGAGGACCATCAATATCACCCATTGGGATGGGAATTTAATTAATTTGATTAGATTATGATCCAGTTAATAAAATCAAGTGATTAGTTTATTTGGTTTAGAAAGGGGGAGGGAGCTTTCATATTCTCTGCTGTTTTGTTTCTATTTATGATTTATGTGTTTTTTATTTCTTTCTTTGAATTAAGAATAGATCTAGTTTTATTTATTACTCCACGGTCCATCCCTGAGCTGAGATTGATGCCAATATTAATTTGAGTTATTATTACATGAACCCACCCCAACTAAATGACAATTGTTCCATTTGAAATTTGGGTAAAACTAAGGTGCTATTGCAGAGGAGAGACGACCCACCATCACACTAGAAAAACAGATGGTTCTAAACGATGGGTGGTATATTTCCTGGTTTGGGATGGGCTATTGGGTCCCATCTTGAAGGGTTCTTACACAAGATCAGAATCATATGATGAACTCTACCCATTTGATTTGGCTATTTGTAGTGTTCTTGTGGGAAGATTTCCATATCTATAAATCCAAATTAATTAGTGAAATGGAAACAGAGTTTCAGTCATGTTGCAGGCTGATTCTTCTATCCAGCCAATCTACATGATGGAAACCAATGAATGGTGTGACCCCATATTCTCGGTAAAGGACAAATGGCAAATTATGAGGGCCCCAGACAGATAGGCCTGCATGCAGAACCAAATTAATATATTAAATCACACATTATTTACAAGATTATATAATAGCGTGTACATCAGCCTAGGTTGCCCAATACATCAATCCTAACCCTTTTTGTGGGCTGTAGACCTGTCAATTGGGTTGGGTAGGTCGGGTTCGGGTTGGATCAAGACACTTTGGGTTGATTTTGGGTTGGGTTATCAAATGCTAGATCCTAATTTTAAATGAAATGTTTGGATTATGGTTGACTCAAGGGTCAATTCGGATTATTCCAAAAAATAACTGAAATTTAAAAAAATAAAAAAAAAACCTATATAAAAATGTTAAAATTAAAGGAATTAATCTTATAATTTTAAAAATAAAATAAAAAAATTGAACATTTAAAAATTTAAAGAGTAAACAATAAAGAGTAAAGACTAAATAGAAAAAATTAAAGAGTAGAAACTAATAACAATGCATAAATAGTCCCAATTAGACTTTAACAATCGGGTCAGCGAGTTGACCCATGACCCAACTCAATCTAACTCAGTTTATTTTGAGGTTAGGTCAAATCGGGTCATTCTCACATTCAGATAGTTAAATATGAGACCCTAACCCTGTTTTTTCAGGTTGGTTGGGTCAGGTTTGCGGGTTGGATCAACTTTTTGCTGAATCTAGTGGACTGGATTGGGTTGGATTCAGGTTGGCCCAACCTAAGTTGCACCTCTACCACAGCCAGAGTTTTGTCTCTTAGGTGGCCTTTGATAATTGCTGACATAGAAGCTGAAAGCCAATGCTGAATAAATTCCGAACTTGTTAAAAATGTGTGCTTCAGTGTTTCAGCAATTTTAAGCCTACTTAATCGATGAATGATGACTGATGAGGAACAGGTATTGAACAATCTTAGCCCTAAAATTTTTATCATATTTCAATAATACTCATGAATTCGCCATTTTTATGTTTGAAATCCTTTTAGCAATGCTGTTTTCAGCGCACCTCTTCCATCCCCTATGTAAATTGTAAAGCTCATTTACTCCTGTCAAAACACAAGCATTTCTATCCAAATTCTCAGTACCAGCCAATCCAAGCAAGGGAGAAAAGAAAAGAATATAATAAAGGCTAGATCTTGGGTTTGGGAAGTGGGAGCACATGATGCTCCCAGTTCTAAGGAAGCCTCTGGCCCACCATTATATGTTTCCACCTAGGCTCTATCTACTTTTCGCTAAGTTATTTATTCAGGTAAATGCAGTTACTAAGAAACACTTACCTGGTAAGTGCATTTACCCAAGAAACACCTTACCCATGTTCTTTTATTTCTCATGTAAATAAGGTAATGACCATTTTAACCATAAAAATCTATTATTAATAGGGCATTTTTGTCCCTTTCAAATATTAACAAATTTCCCAGGTAGAAAAATTATTTACCCACTTATGAGATGGGTATCCTAGGAAAATAATTTTTCCCTGGTCTCAAAAAAGAACATGAGTTTCTCAATCAATGGGAACAAAAATCTCATTGGCCAACTTTCCCCCTCTCAAAATCCAAAAACAGAAAACCCCCTAATGTGATGAACAGCTCAAGTAAAACCCTTGCACCATACATTACAGATTTATAACGAAACTAACTTATTGCAATTGGTTGGGAGTGGAAAACCATCTTCTTCAAGCTGTGATGGCATTTCTATCCTACTCGGTTGGATAACTGAAACTTAATGACCAAAACTGTCCTTTTTATAACTGAAACTTGAAAGATTGAAAATTTGTCCTTTTTATAGTGAAACAAGTAGGGATGGCATTTCTATCCTACTGGGTGGGTATTTGCTCCTACTAGGGCTGTTCACGGGTCGGGTTGGGTCGGTTTACTGAGATTTTTTCAACCGACCCGACCTGGTTGGGTTACCTAAAATTGAAATCGAAATCGATCCTGTGTTAAGTAAAACTGACATGGTTGGTTTGAGTTGGGTTGGGTCGGTTTCGGCTCTAAGGTCAACCATGGTAATAAATTGGTAGATTGGAGAAAGAAGACTGAAATTTGATGTAAAAAAGGATACCTAATTCTATTAGAGAAAGAAGATTGAAATTGGTAGAGGGAGGACCAAGTTAGAATAGAAGTTATCAAGAAAATAGAAAGTCAAACTGTATTAGAGAAAGAAGACTGAAATTTAGAATAGAAGTTATCAAGAAAATAGAAAGTCAAACTGTATTAGAGAAAGAAGACTGAAATTTGTATATTTCAAGAAACCTTCTAATCTAAGTAAAAAAGGACACCTAATTCTAATTGTAATTGGTTGCCAATTTGGTGTAAAAGACCATAAAAACTAGGATCCTTTGATTCTTTTCTTTAAACTTTTCCAAAAAAATTCCTTGTCTATTTGTCTTACAATACTTGCCATTAATGTCATTCCTAACAAGAAGACTAGAAATTAAGTTAGGTTGTAATTAGGATAGAGACAACTTAGTTAAGTAGGAACTAAGTAGGTTGTAAATACTAACTAGGAACTAACTACTAACTACTAAGTTGGTTCGGTTCGGGTCGGTTTATGGTTTTTTACAACCTGAAACCGACCGGTGCTGAAGAAAACCCGACCGATTCGGGTTGGGTCGGTCCGGGTTGATCGGTTTGATCGGGTTGGGTCTTCTTATGAACAGCCCTAGCTCCTACCCGCACCAACGGGGAGGGTTTTTTCTAGGAGTGATCATCAAAAACCAAATAAAAGAAACTAAACCAATAAAACTGAACCAAAAATTCTGATTAACCGAACCAACTAATATATTTGTGTGTGTATTTTATATGCTTTTCATATATATTTTATATTATGTATATGTTATAAATGAATATATATGAATTATATATAAATATATAATATAATATATTTTTTATTATTTATATGTATTTCTAGTATTTTTATTATATATTATATATTTATTGATAATATATATTATCAATATAAAAAAAACTGAAAACTCGACTGACCGTACCGGTGTAAAATCAAACCACCCTCCTCAACCCATATATTGTTGGAAGGCTTATGAACTTATTTATTAGGTGTTGAATGTAATAATATTTTGAATTTTATGTGAAGGATAATTAATAGTTTATGTGCTTTTAACATGTTTTAATAAAATAATTGGAAAATTTGATGATTGTTCATGCTATTTTATTTATTCATTGCTTATATATAACAAGAAATAATAGGAAATTAGGATCATAGAGAGTTTTGTATTTCCATGTGCAAGGAGGGTTTGGATTTTGAAAATCCAATCCACTAGGAATGGGTTTTAGCTAGGGACGGTACAGATTGGGAGGTTTAAGGAAATGGGTAGGATCTTGAATTTACAAAACACTCCCCGACTCCACTCCATTGCCATCCTTAGAAACAAGGGAAATTATCTACAGATAATTATCCAAATCAAATAACTGAATTATCTCATAAGGTTGATGTTGAAAATAAGCTTGTAGTGGACAAGTAATAGGGGTCATGACCATCCGGATGGTGGGTCAATCCTCATAAATCATTTTTTTTTCTCTTATAATTTCCATATGATGTGTGATTTCTTTCTCATACACTCAGTGTGTTCACCGAATGTGCCTCCCTGATCCCTCAAGGGGATAGCATTACACCAATATTTACTTGCTTCAGTGGGGGCAAAACTGAGTACATCACCAAGTACTAACTATATGTTTCATCAAATGTATCACAGATTGGGAATTTCATGCACTACATAAGTCGTTTCATAGCCGGATTTGCAATTGGGTTTGCTCGAGTTTGGCAAATCAGTCTTGTGACCTTATCAATTGTCCCTCTGATTGCCATTGCTGGTGGTGTCTACGCGTACATAGCAATTGGTCTCATGGCCAGAGTAAGGAAATCCTACGTCAAGGCTGGAGAAATCGCAGAAGAGGTCTATTAATTGTTTACTGCAACAATTGCTTTTAATTAGCCTAAACTGAAAACTTGTAGACAATGTGGAAATGCTGCTAGCTAGCTTAGCTACATCTCTAAACTAGTGCAGCTCTGATCAATTAAAAGTTGATTGAAGTCGTATTGATCTTGCAGGTGATTGGTAATGTTCGAACAGTCCAAGCGTTTGTGGGAGAAGAGAAGGCTGTGAAGATGTACAAGGATGCACTGGCCAAGACATACACGTATGGGAAGAGGGGAGGACTAGCCAAGGGTATGGGGCTTGGATCGATGCACTGTGTTCTGTTCTTGTCGTGGGCATTGCTTGTCTGGTTTACTAGCATTATCGTCCACAAGCAGATAGCTACTGGCGGAGATTCTTTCACCACCATGCTCAATGTTGTCATTTCTGGCCTGTAAGTCTCAGAGGACCCAGTCTGCAAAATTATTAAAAGCAGTTCCATTTCTTTTAGTCTTTAATTTGAGAGACACTAGGAGATAGAACTAAGGATGTCTGAATCTCTGAATTCTTTGTTATATTCTCAGCTCTCTAGGAATGGCAGCTCCTAACATCTCCACCTTCATCCAAGCAAGAACATCTGCATATCCCATTTTTAAGATGATTGAGAAGAGCACAGTTAGCCAAGCCAGCGCCAAAAATGGACGTACCCTCAGCAAAGTGGAGGGGCACATTCAGTTCAAGGATGTATATTTCTGCTATCCCTCTCGCCCACATGTGGTGATCTTCGACCAGCTTTCTCTGAATATACCATCTGGAAAAGTTGTCGCCATTGTTGGAGGAAGTGGGTCGGGAAAGAGCACAGTAATCTCATTGATAGAGCGTTTCTATGAGCCCCTCTCTGGTCAGATACTGTTAGACGGAAATGACATCAAGGAGCTTGATCTCAAATGGCTCAGACAGAAAATTGGATTGGTCAATCAGGAACCTGCTCTCTTTGCCACTACCATTCGTGAGAACATCTTATATGGGAAAGATGATGCCACCTTGGACGAAATAACACGAGCTGCAAAGCTCTCAGAAGCGATATCATTCATCAACAATCTTCCTAATAGATACGAGACTCAGGTATATGAATTTGATTTCTCATAACAGTAACCATTCATTTGTTTTCTAGCTGCCATTAACGGAAGATTTAATGTTCATCATTACTGTGAATTGCAGGTTGGTGAGAGAGGAATACAGTTATCAGGTGGACAGAAGCAAAGAATTGCAATATCTCGTGCGATACTGAAGAACCCATCAATCCTGCTCCTGGATGAGGCCACAAGTGCCCTTGATGCTGAATCTGAGAAGAGCGTTCAACAGGCGCTTGATCGTTTGATGGTTGGACGAACAACAGTTGTAGTGGCCCATCGGCTCTCCACCATTCGGAATGCAGACATCATCGCCGTCGTCCAGGACAGTAAGATTGTTGAGACCGGGAGCCATGAAGAGCTGATGTCAAACCCCAACAGTGCCTATGCAACTCTTGTGCATCTCCAAGAGGCAGCACCTTTGCAGCGTCAAGGCTCGATGGGAGCTGGCGTGGGTCGCCTTCCTAGGTAAATACCTGGATCAAACTTTGTTGAACCGGAACCAGAACCAGAAACCAGTGTGCTTCATGCCTTCATCTAGCTATTTACTTGTTCATGTCCATTGATTGTTAGCCTAATTAACGTATGCAATTGAATTTGGCAGCATGAGGCTTTCACGGGAATTGTCCCACAGAAATACGAGCTTTGGTGCCAGCTTCCGCTCAGATAAGGAATCCATTGGGCGTGTGGTTGCAGAAGAGGGTGAGACAGAGAGAAGGAAGCCTGTGTCCATGAGAAGAATGATTTCAATGGTGCTTCCTGACTGGGTGTATATAATATATGGAGTCACAGGTGCGATCATGTCCGGTGCCCAGATGCCGCTTTTTGCTCTCGGAGTTACACAGGCTCTGGTCGCCTATTACATGGATTGGGACACCACACGCCACCAAATCAAGAAGATTGCATTCCTCTTCTGTGGAGGTGCTGTTGTCACAGTCATCTTTCATTCCATTGAGCATCTCAGCTTTGGAATCATTGGCGAGAGGCTTACTCTTAGGGTGCGAGAGAAGATGTTTGCAGGTAAATTGATTAACAAAACACTTTCCTTCTCTTTCCCTACCTTTTCTTTCAAACCAAACAGACTAAGGAAGAAAATAAAAAAGGCAATTTCCATTGCCGGGATTTGAACCCGGGTCGCCTGGGTGAAAGCCAGGTATCCTAACCGGACTAGACGACAATGGATAGTTGTTAAATGTTGGCATTAAATTTTCTTTCAGTAATACTCAACAGATACTCATTTTCTTTTGTTCTTTCTTTATATAAACACAGCCATATTGAGGAATGAAATCGGATGGTTTGATGATACAAACAACACCAGCTCGATGTTGTCATCACGTCTAGAAGCCGATGCAACTCTGCTACGAACCATAGTCGTGGATCGTTATTCAATTCTGATCATGAACATCTCTATGATCGTAACCTCGTTCATCATTGCTTTCCTTCTGAATTGGAGGATCACACTTGTAATCATGGCCACTTATCCTCTCATAGTTAGCGGGCACATCAGCGAGGTTTCTCTTTTTCTCTAATTCTTATTTTACCCATATTCATGCATATCCTTAGCTAGTCGAGACTAGAGTGAAGGAAATTAATAAGTAAACCCCAGTTGAATTCTCTTGGGCTGTGTTGCAGAAACTCTTCATGAAGGGCTATGGTGGCAATTTGAATCAGGCCTACCTGAAAGCTAACATGCTCGCCGGCGAGGCAGTGAGCAACATCCGAACAGTTGCTGCCTTCTGCTCTCAAGATACGGTCATTGACCTGTATGCACGAGAGCTAGAAGAGCCAAACAAGCGTGCCTTCCAACGTGGTCAGATTGCCGGCATACTGTATGGTGTCTCACAGTTCTTCATCTTCTCATCCTATGGCCTTGCTTTATGGTATGCAGTTTAATTCAGATCGGTGAAGAAAAGAAAGGTAGTACACAGCTTCAATTAGATGCAATGCTTATTACTCAATCTGAATTTGTGCAGGTATGGTTCTGTCTTGATGGGGAAGGAGATGGCCAGCTTCAAATCAGTCATTAAATCATTCATGGTATTAATAGTTACTGCATTGGCCATGGGAGAGACGCTAGCATTGGCACCAGACCTCGTGAAAGGGAACCAGATGGTAGCTTCAGTGTTCGAAGTGCTGGACAGGAAGACGGAGGTGGTGGGAGATGTCGGGGAGGAAGTGACAAAGGTTGAAGGAACAATTGAGTTGAAGCGTGTGGAGTTCAGCTATCCGTCGAGGCCAGACAGTATTATCTTCAAGGACTTTGATCTCAGAGTGCGAGCTGGTAATAGTATGGCATTAGTGGGAGCCAGTGGGTCGGGCAAGAGCTCTGTGCTTTCTCTCATTTTACGCTTTTATGATCCAACATATGGGAAGGTGATGATTGATGGTATGTGTTTCTCAATTCAAATTAACCATGATCGACCAACTGATCGACTTTGTGTATCTTCATTACACATGGGTCCCGTTTGGTTCGTGGGATTAGGGGTTTTGAGTCTGAATCGGAATTGGAATGACCCGTTTTGATTCCAATTATTTGGTTGGGTTGAATTAGAATTCCATTCTCATTCCTGGTGGAGTGGCCATTCCCTCCCCCTATTTGGGGAATGAAATTTTGTTCTAATTGAGGGTCCATTTGGTTCATGGTTGGAATCAGAATTAGAATAGAAATCGAAATCAGAATGATCTATTCCCATAGTTTGTTTGGTTCAAACAGGAATGGGAATGAGAATTAGAATCAGTAGGAATGAAATTTCATTCCAAAGGGAGGGGCGATGAATGTCCATTCCCTCAAATAGGGAATGGGATTCCGATTCCACCTAACTAGACAGTTAGAATTGGAATAGCCCATTCCAATTCCGATTTCAAACCCCTATTCCTATGAACCAAACGGGGCCTAATTTCAATTCCCATTCCGATTCTTGGCTGAACGAAACACATTAATTATGGGAATAGACTATTCTAATTCAGATTCCGACTGTAAACCAAACTGACCATTAATTGATAAGCTTTGTTCTTTATGTCATAGTGATGGGTTGATTCTTGTTTTATTATTTATAGGAAAAGACATAAAGAAGCTCAAGCTCAAGTCCCTTAGGAAGCACATCGGCCTGGTCCAACAAGAACCAGCACTGTTTGCCACAACCATTTATGAAAACATTCTGTATGGAAAAGAGGGAGCATCAGAAGCAGAGGTTATTGAGGCAGCCAAGCTTGCCAATGCACACACCTTCATCAGCGGCCTTCCTGAGGGCTACAGAACTAAGGTTGGAGAACGAGGTGTGCAATTATCTGGTGGCCAGAAGCAAAGGGTTGCCATTGCTAGAGCTGTTCTCAAAGACCCAGCAATTTTGCTACTGGATGAGGCCACCAGCGCACTTGATGTAGAGTCTGAGCGTATAGTTCAACAAGCACTTGACAGGCTAATGAAGAACCGAACCACAGTTGTGGTAGCACATCGTTTGTCCACCATCCAAAATGCAGATCAAATCTCAGTCATACAAGATGGGAAGATCATAGAACAAGGGACCCATTTTCGATTGATAGAGAACAAAGATGGAGCTTATTATAAGTTAATTAACCTACAACAACAGCAGCAGCAGGAACAACAACAACAACAGTAACTATAACAAAAAAATTATTTTGATGATTTATGAAGGATATTTTTTTTCATATTGTATTTTCTTTCCATTTTTTACTCTTCTTTTTAATTACTATTTTTTTCGTCTCCCTCCTTTTCTATATCAATCTATCTATAGATTATGAAAAGTAGTGATTATTTTACTATTTCAAGTGTACATCATGGAATATTATATGTAATCAGTTTATCCAGTTTAATTAATGTCACAACAGTGCATCTTATTTATGTCAATAAAGAGTGAATTTGGCACAAATTGCATCATCTTTATTACAGTAAAATTTGGGGTTTAAATCATGAATTATGTGTGTGAAGATGCCTTGTAATAAAGATATGTTTTGTGGGTAGGAATTAATGAACTATGGGTAATTAAACTGAGAATGAAAATTTTGAGGAAACTTGTTAGCTTTCAAGAAGATAGTTAATGAAGAAGGGAGGATATTCAGCAGTGACCGGCATGTCTTATATGTAGCATCGATCTAATTAAGGGCCGTGTCAATGGACCAGTTTTGGGTTGGACTCTGTCCAAATCAAAACCGATTTAAACGTATTGGGTGGACCAATAAGACATTGAATTGAACCAGTTCAGATTAGACCTGGTTCGCCATCTGTAATGGACTCATATTAGACCGGATATAATTGGACCAAATCTGATCCAATTGACACCCCTACTTGTGGGTCTCTAAAGGCTTCTAAGTTTGGGATGTGTCTTCATTTCATTTAATCTATTATATTCCCGGCCCTGCTTGAGGTATATGCATGTCATACATAATGAAGCAAATTTTGAAATTACTACCTCTCTTGACCTGCTCTGCTGAGACATCACCTAATATTCCCATTTAATTATCAGTCATGATTAGATTTTATAATTTGACATATGTAGAAATTTGAAGCTTTTGCCTTGCCACATGTTATATATCTCATGAACATCTATCCTTTGCCTAGAATAATCTTCATTGTGAAACATAAGATGTAAATTAACAAAATCATTTAGGAGCCCCCCTAGTTTGTTTATATTAATTAAAGCAAAAGATATACCAATTCTTAAATTTGGGTTTTCAGTTGTAACCGGTATGTTATATTTTGCAGTTTGGAATCCAAGTGATGGGGGATGGAAACCCCAAAAGAAGATGACTTAAGCCATAACAGTCTTGTAAACAACAAAAGAAACTAATTAATGAGATAATATAGGTAAGAGTGTAGGTAATGACTTTGGGATGGAGGAAATCATTAGATTTTTTCAAGTCTAAGGTCTTCATTTAAAACTGCAGGGCATCTTATATATATTCATCAGAAATCCATGAAACAATTCTTAGGTTTTGTTCTGTCATATTAATCTAACTAATTAAGGACTTGTGCATTTAATTAGTCAATGAAGGAGAAAAATCTAGGGCAAACACTACTTCACCTTAATGTCCCAATTGACTACTACTAATGGTGTTTTGGGGTGTGTAATCAAATCAAGTAAGCAAGGACCTTTAGCTAAGCATGCATTAATATTGTTAACAGCCCAATCCCTCTCTATCAGGTAGGTAATTAATCGATCGATTGTACTCCTACTCCATGTGGCCCCAGCCCTTGTTTGTTGGAGACATACTTCTGTCATACTCCCTTTATTGTACATAATTTATCTCCTATTAATTAGTCTATGCTACTATTCCTTGTCGTCCTTGGTTAGAGGTGAATATAATTCTAACCTCGCAGTCTGGCACTGGCCGGCTTTTAATTAATGGGTTGAGTAATAATTCTTCTGATGTGCTACCTCCACATGCACCAGTGTGTGGGAACATCTCAATGCACGGTTAGGATGTGCTGTGGGGAGTACAGCTAAATTCTCATAATTTACTGGTATTTTCTTTTACTTAAAAAAAAAAAGTATAATTAGATGTACATAGAATTGAAGAATCAACTACACAACATTCATATAACCAAACCCGGCTCTAATTAATAGTTAATTAGGTTGATAAATCAGAATTATTCTTTATAATTTTTAACCCCAGACTTTACTCCGGAGTCCAGAGAGAGGTGTGGCCTCCAAAAATTTTATTAAATCAACAAGGTAAATAAGATCTTAATTGAGGGGTGGGGCGTGGGGGCAGGGGGAACGTAGGCACCTTACTCCTCATGAATGCCTATACAGACAAGTTCACCAAATCATAGATAAAAGCAAAGAATCTGCTAGATTGACTTAAAAGAAAGGAGATTGAAAAGCTTGATATTGTCCAAAAATATTGGCACTGTTATATCCTGGTGAGTGATGAAGCCTGTTCCAGTCTTTCTTCTTTGTTTAGAATATAATATTAAATAAAGCTACTATTAAAAAGAGAAGCAAGAAAGGATAGAGAATATCACTAGAGGGCCCAAAACAAAAACAAGTAAGCCCATAACCCCAGCCCTCGACAAAAAGCACTACCCACAGAAACACTACATATATGCACCAAGATCATCCAATCGCACCACAAGCTCAAACCTTGGAAAAACAAAACAGATCAAGAAAATATATAAAAATATTTTCAACCACCCTGAGACGGGCCCAACAAGGCCCATCCTCGACCAAACTAAGCATCCTCAAGCCCAATTTCTTCGTTCCCCGGTTCCCCCTCTTCCTCTGCGGCTCTGCTTCTGAATCTCTGATACTCTTAAAACAAAGCCAAATCACTACGCTGTCACCAAGCTGGTTGTTTTCTTTCTAGGTTTAGTTAGCTTCATAGGTGAAGTGTGTCAGGGTTACTCTTATCCATTCATAAGAAAGGTTGACAGGTTGCTCTTAATAATCAAGGGGCATTTTGATGAATTTGCTCCTCACGCAACATCTTCCATACCCATGAATAACATACAATAATGGGAGATGTTTCCAATGTAACAATAGAGTGTGAGGTGGGTGTGAGGAGAAAATCTAGTATCCATTTTAATACTTTGTAATGAAGTGCATGATTTGAATTATTATTTATTTAGTTTGAAAGATATATTCCCCCTATATATAGGCAAAACAAGAAGTTGATGCAATGTCAAGTTGGTCACCTCTATAGAGATGATGTAGTTGATATATATGACTTCTGATGAATGATGTCTTACATTTTTATAGTTTTATCATGGTTGTTCTCAGCTGTATATAACCTCACTAGGGTTGTATAGTGGTGATTAATTAGAATTGGGGTGGCCCACCCGTAAAGCCACCACCTAGAGATCGAGAATGTTCATCATATTCTAGGCACATCAAGCTTCATAGCAGTACTATCAAACGCCTCCTTAGTACGTAGCTGCTATTGCTTCAATGGTAAAATGAGACCCCAGCCACAGCAAGTCCAACTCTATGTGCAGCTTGGAGAAGAGGAATCACCTCTACTTGGATGTTGGATCCCAAAAGAGTAAGACACAGCAAGCCGAAGCGGCAACGAGCATTTTGGGTGATACTTTTGCATCAAATCCATTACACCATCGATTGCTGTAATGGTCACATGCTTACCCTTGATCCCACAAGCAGTTAACATGGATTGCAGTAGCAGGAAGCTTCAAGTGGCCCATGCATAGATAGTGAGACCAAGTCACCAAAAGAGTGAAAACAGACTAAGGTTAGAGAAAACAACTTTTGAACTTGTTTTATATCTCTTTTGCTTAAGATTCCACATGTATATAGGCAGAGAGTGCAAACAACACGTGGGGGGCTAAGGGGGATGGGGATGGGCTTATCCCCGTTGTGTAGTCCATATTGGTATGCATGAGATGTTTACATCTCTGATATGATTATTATCACTTAAACATGTATAGCCTAACCTACTAACTTCATTATCACCTAAGAGTTCAATCTTGGTACGTTGCTAACTATACAAATACCTTGTATGTAAACTCACCATCATTGTGTAAGTGAATTTCATTATTCTCTCTCAATTTTCATGGGCCATCACTAACCCAACTAAGTGGGTTTGGCATATACCAGCCCACCCTTACCGGGGCCAAAGTTGCATCAAACATAAAAATTTGACTTTGACATAGAAGAGACTTTACACACATCATAGACAAATCGTAGAAGTGATCAAGATACAAGATTAATTTCATCAAATACCTTAGAAATAATAAACAACACTCAACATAATCAAGTGAACCAAAGAAAAATACAAGCTGGGCTTCAATAAAGAAGAAAACAAAAGAGCAACAATATTGTGATGCATGTACATGGTTAATTAGAGCACCAGCACCTGCAGGAGCAAGCAGGACATGATGCATCACATATAAGCAAGGATACATTTCCAGCATATCCTCCTTACGGATAAAGGAAAACCAAAACATGGGGCTTCAACCTATGAATTAAACTCCCACTTAAGTCCTTGTTTTGTAAATGAATTAAGTCACTAAAACAAAATAAAGTGAATTAAGAGGCTCTCTAATTCAAACATTAAGACTTTCTCATTCAGGTGAGCAGGAATTTCTAGAATGAGGAGCAGTGAACCAAATATGGCCTTAGGGCCACCCCAAGATCTTGAAAAGGCTTCAAACCAAAAATCTATTTTAACAAAATCCACACTCATACATAGGATCCAAGAACCAAACAAATAGACTTCAAAATATCATCTCAAAAGATTTGCAGATTCCCCTAATAACTAAATAGGAAAATCACTTAGAAGCTCCCATTATCTTAAATCACAATTAAGAGAAAGACCTTTAACCAATGTGTGGAAAAAAATAAACTTCAAGGTGAAGCCAAGCTCCTCATATATGCAAGAAAAATTACATTGATCAAAGCAAGGCACAACACTTGATGAACTACTTTTAACGTTCAATCCATCCCTTTTTCTTGTGTATTTTGGGGAGGAGAGGGATTCTGCATAAAGCCAATTTACAGATACAGAACAAACCAACTAGCTGACTTGTTGGCAGGTTGTGGATAGTTAGGGATAGACCAGCTAAAGCACATCTGAATCACTTCGGATCTGCCACCGAAAATTGTTCAGAATACTACTGCCTACTGCCGTGTATTGGGCACATCTCCCTATGAATTAGAAGATAGATATTTTCAATGAACAT